CCAACCAATGGATCAAGGTGCTATGGCTGCCTTTAAAGCGTATTATTTACGCACGACCTTCGCTCAGGCTGTTGCTGCTACTGAAGGTGAGAAAACGCTCAAGAGAGTTTTGGAAGGAGTACAACATTTTGTCATGTATAAAGAACATTAATGCAGCATGGGATCAGGTTACAAAACATTGCATGAATGGAATATGGAAGAAAATCCTGAAAAGATATGTGAACAGTTTCAAAGGATTTAATGAAAATGAAGTTATTTTGGATATTAGTAACAAGATAGTGGAGTTAGGTAAACAGCTGGAGTTAGAAATTGATAATGAAGATGTCGGACAGTTGGTTGAAAGTGTAGCAGAATAGCTCAGTAACGAGGATCTTATTGAACTAGATGCACAGAAAATTGCAGAGGAAGAAGAGAGACAAAAGGTAGAAGAAGAATCTGCACCCCCCAAAAAGTTTTCAGTGAAACATATGGCAGAGGCATTTGCTATAATTAATAAAGCAATGCAAATGTTTGATGCCATGGATCAAAATTATGAGCGGTATGCCAAAGTTGACAGAATGATCCAAGATTCACTTTCTTGCTACAGAGAAATTTATAATGAAAAGAAAAAAAACTGTGCAGTCTAAATTGGACATCTATTTTAAGAAATCCCCCAGTGCTGTCTCCTCACGCCCCACCAGTACTGCCTCTTCACTCCCTCAAGATGATCCAATACCTTCAACCAGCAAGTTTCCATAGCACATAAACCTGTCTGAAGAAAGCGACATTGATGACCCACCCAGCCCTGTCTCCTCTTCTGCTTCTTCCAATTAATATAGTCTCCATGTATCCTGTAAATAGAAAATTATGGGGGCCCTGTGTGCATTCAGCTGACTATATTTAAGGTAAGTGCTCAGTCACTTTATCCATTCCTCATTATTTATTACTTTTACTGTACTGTATCCATTCCTCATTATTTATTACGTTTAGTGTACTGTATTTCATTGTAGATATTTATTTTATTTTTATTTTTTTAAATTTGAATTTTTTTTTTATTTTATTTATTTATTTTATTTTTTATCTATGTCGGACTTACGACCTGGATTTGGGTCCCTAACCCCGTCGTAAGTCGGGGAGCACCTGTATATCCATCCAACCTATATTTGAAGCTACCCAGCATGCTCGAGTTAATGATGATGTTAGGTAACTTGATCCACTCATCTACTACTCTACTCTATTTCCAAACCAGTGTTTACCTGGCACCTAAATTTAAATTTGTCAAATTTAAAACCTTTGCTACAAGTTCACTCCTGGTTGGATAGTTTAAGTACCTTTGTTATATCACTTTTGCTTCACCCTTACTTTAATATACACACCTCGATCATATCGCCTCTCATTCTACATTTCTCAAGGAAGGGTAAATTCGGATGCTTTAATCTGTCTCTATACTCAAGATTCCTAATGCCTGGGATTAGTCTTGTCATCCTCTTCTGTATGGTTTCTAGGGATTCGATATCCATTCTGAAGTACGGTGACCAAAAGTGACCCGCATAATCCATGTTAAGTCTAACAAGCGCAAGATAGTGTTTTAGAATAAACTACCTCGCTAGTCTTGTACAGTAACTAACACTCCTTTGCATGAACCCAAGTTTTGAAGAGTACTTTGCTAGCCTTATTTCGAGCAAATTCACATTGCTGTCCTGGTTTAAGATTCTTACTTATAATTACTCCTAAATCTTTCTCAGTCAGATTTCTCTGTATCAATGTTGTTCATCTGATACAGTACAGTACAACCTCGATAAATCGTACTAATTGTGGCAGGCGCCAGTCTGAAAAGCATAAAACTCTAAACAAGGAAGGGGAGGGGGGGGGGGTGGAGGAGATAACAGCTAATTTGAACAGTTTAAAGAAAATCAATTGTTGCTATATTATTACTGCACTTCAACAACTAGGGTCTTTGTAGAACTAGGTTATTAAAAGACTTTTACATCAACAATAAGAAAACAATTAGAAAACATAACACCCTGGGTTGAAAATCAGGCATAAGTCTGACTGTCTACAACTGTTTTCACCAACAAGATTGTTATTTACTGTAAAGTGTTATATATAAATAACCACAGAATCTGTCTTATGAATAAAGAGAAAACTGTATACTGTACAGTACTATAAAGCCAAAAATAAGAACAAATAAGCGTAGGGGTATATTATATGTGGAAGACGAGTGTACATCTGGGTGCAACAGGTCAAGGGGAGGGGAGGGGGGGGGGGTAACGTGAGAGGCCCACTCCCCCTCTCTCCCCTAAAATCATTTTAATACGACTTGATGCAATTTCACCCTAATTCTCATATCTTTTAGGTTCATTTGGTGCCAGGTTGATAAAATTTTACCCCATAAGAATCAACTTTCCTGAAAAAAAGAAACCCACACTCAACACTATGAGTTGTTTGCTTACAAAGACCAAACAGCTGTTAGATCCTTCACCACTCATGCATGTCCCAACGTCTGTCTTCAACACTTAGGAAATCAGTACAGTAGGGTATTTATCTGCCTAATTTAGCTTTATCACCATCCCTAGCAAAATTTCTCTGTAACCTTTCATTTAGTTTACCCATGCCCACTGCAGTCTCCTTGACCCCCTGCTGACATGTTCCCCTAGAAAGTTTAAAGACTTTGACATCTTTTGTACTGCTCTCTCGAAAGCCAGCCAGGGTTGCCACCGCATCCCTAGATAAATACACCCCACCCCAAGCATAAGGTTCCTTTTGCCATAGAAGTTGTCCCAGATGTCTTGCAATATTTGTCTAGACAGCTGTTGACACCAACTGTCCTTAACAACCATTCATTTCTAACTCCTTCTAGGCAGGAAACCCCATATAATAGGAATCCCTCTCTTCATCCTGATCTGGCCAACAGCTGCCTTGAACTTATCAAGGAGCTCCTCACTCCTACATCGGCCAATATCATTGCCTCTTGCACTAAGGCAGATAATGGGTTTGTTCCCATTACCCGACATGATACTTTCCATCCTGTCCTCTATATCACCCACCCCAGCTCCTGCCAAACACGCTCTCATCCTCCTCTGTCTTTATTACAGAATGTTTGATCTAGGTACAGTAGAAAGTCGATACTGTATAACGCGCGATACATTCCAGAGAGGCCGTTGCTTTAAACCGAATTCACACTAAATCGAAGTGTTGTTTCAATGGAATAATTTAGTTTGGTATTTGAGAGAAACACAAAATACTAAAAAGACTGAGTCTACCCAGATGCACCTCAGCCCATCTCCTAGAATAAACAAAACATCGTTTTTTGTAGTATTATGTTAAAAGAAACACTCATCAATCAACACAGCTAAAATTAAAGGATGCGAAATGGTCTGTTTACTGGCTGGGAAGATAGGGGGGAGGGAGGGAGGGAGGTGAGGTGATGTGATATGTTTGACAGTTGATGCCAAGGCCTAGTGCTTATTTATTTATCTGTCCTTAAGAGTGACCAAGTTTTTCTCTTATAAAATGTCACTTAACTAACCTGGGAGATTATAATTAACATTGCTGGAATTCTTATAAGATAGTGATTAGTTTGAATATAAACATGTTATAGTTTGCATTAGACATACTAATTTTAGTTTAATTACAAATTAATAATTTTTTTTTTGCAAAATATATGCCATTTATATTCAAATTATTCACTGTCTTGCAAGGATTCTAGCAATGCAAATTAGTCTGTGATATAATATAAGATAAAAACTTAAGCCTACTGTATAACCACCAAACCCTGGCTGGGAGGGAGGGGACAGTGACACGTTTGACCAGTTGGTGCCGAAGGTCTAGTGAAGTATATTTTTGTTTATGTCCTTTAGATTGAGTTTTTGTTTTTTGTTTATGAAATGTCACAGAAGTGACCGACGAGAACATAATTTTCATTGCTGGAATTCTTATAAGAGTGATTAATTTGAATATAATCATGCTAAAGTTTGCACAAGACAAAATTTTAGTAATCATTTAGTACATTATTTTGAGTACATGTACAGTACAGCTTTACCCTTAGGACAGTGTAGCGTGCCCTGAGAAACATTAGGCGCAAATTTTAAAATATGATGCACCGGATTGACTTGCGCAAAATTGGAAAGATTCGCTTTAAATTATAACATTGTCCTTAATTATGGGTGTTGCTTTAAATCAATAATCTTAATTGAATCGCTTTAAATCGATGTTCTACTTTACCTTACCTGAGAGTCACCAACAATTAAGGTTTTCCTATCTTCCTTGTCAGCCTTGTCTTTAATTGTCTTACTGTTCATTTCATCCACCAAAGGACTAAGAGAGTTAGTACACTTAGCTTTTTCTGTAGCTTTATTGACCTTCTCCACCACCAACCTTGTCACTCCTCTCTTCACTACCTTCCACTGGTATGTGTTGTCCTCATCCACACTCCCCCCGTCTCACATCTTCCTCCATCCTCACAATCACTTCCTTCAACCACAAATTTTTGCCTTTGACCTTCTAATGCTCAGCCTTTAGGGAGGCACAGAGCTGTTCACAGCTAGCACTAAGCATGGTTACAATGTCCCTGAGGTCAGCACAGCACACCTGACTCACTTCACCATGTGTGTCTTCCCCCAAACCCCAAACAACTTCTGCTCTATTTGTGATAGAAAGATCCTTAAACAAAATATTTTGACACTATGTAATGTGACATGGAAAGATAGGAAACCTTTTCACACCTAAGAGGGCAGTTGGGTATTGAAATTATTGGTGAGGTTTTGCACAGGGGTTGGTTAAGGAGGTCGAAGCATACTGAGGGAATGAAGGAGACAAATTAGACCAAGAGATGCATGACTTTGAATGAGGAGTGGAATGACATTGAGAGGTTGTAAGAAATGACCTCTAAGATAAGAACCTAATGAGCTGCCATCAGATAACAACAGACAGCACATGCAAACATGGAAAATGACACTAAAATGGTGATGATTTTTAGTTCTATACGAACAAATGTTTCATCTTAATAAACATTTTCTAACCTTCAACCGGGATAGCTGGGTACCCCTCCACAGTCAAATTAACATGTTGAGTACCATCAGTCGTTGTAACTGAAGAAGTAATATTTGCTTCGCTGAGATTCTCTACTCCACCACTTCCCATTCGCACTACACTGACCTGAGAACCATCTGCTCCATGACTTGCTGCAAAGTATGGGAGTCAATGAATAATGAGAAATTAGGTTATATAGAAAATTAAGTATAAATCTTTCTCGTGTGGTTCATTATTATTGCTAGCAAAATAAAAAAGTTTTGAATGAAAGCATTCTCAATCTCATCATATTTACATAAAAAATATTTCTAGTCTAGAACATTTTTTATTACACTATATAATACAGGGGGGCCCCCCAAATTTGCGGGGGTTAGGTTCTCAAAATGGCGGCGAATTGTCAAATCCACGAACAACCTTTGCTGACCAGTTGGAGGGGTGGGGGGGTATATTTTTACTTGTGTACAAAGCAATGTATATTCCTTTTATGTGTTTGCCCTTAGAACAAATTTCTTTTACCTGTATTGTATATATGTGTGTGTGTGTGTGTGTGTGTGTGTGTGTGTGTGTGTAGACACACACACAAAACACATACAGTACATACAAATAAATAATAATGGGAAAATACTCAAATAATCAATTTTTTTATTAAAAATGTGAGTAACCTTAAGTCCGTGCTTTATTAATAAAGTAATAAAGCACGGACTTGAGGGTAGACTGTCACATTTTCAATAAATTTGTTTCTGATTATTTGTGAGAGGATTTTCCCATTATTATTTATTTGTGTCTCTACACACACACACATATTTACATTACAGGTAAAGAAAATTACTGTCTCTAGAATGAACGGCTCCCTGTCCAGGCCATGAAAATACCAGAAAATTTAAAACTACCCTTAAACATTCTTAGGTACATCTAGAGTGTCATCCGCCAAAAATCGAGGTCTGTCAATTTTCAGGGAAGGCTGTACTCTACTGTGGCTTAGAAATAAATAAAATATAATGTAAAACTATCAAATAGACATTGAAAAGCATGGGTATGTACAGAATACAGTATGTAGGAAGTGAATGTGTGTGGAGGCAGTTATAGCCAAGGACTTGGCAATAACTGCCTCCACACATGTTTACAGTACAGGTTGACAATCCCTTATCCAAAATTCTTGGGGTCAGAGGCATTTCGGAATTTTTCGGTTTTCAGAATGGGGTTTTTTTTTTTTTTGCCCACCCGGTCACAAGTCACTGACCCACATTGGGGCCTGGGGGGCGAAAATAAAAAAAAATTATAATTATAATACAATAATAATAATAATAATAATAATTCATAGGTCCAGGTCATGTTTCTCACTTTTGATCTTTTTTTCAATCTTGTATTTCTTAATTATTATTATTTTATTATTACAGTATTATGATTATTATTAATTTTTTTATTATATTTTATTATATTATTATTATTATTATTATTATTATTATTATTTTATTTTGGTGTATTTTTTATTAAAATTTTTATTTACTATGAATAATTATTATTACAATTATTATCATTATAATTATTACTACTACAGTGGTCCCTCAGTTAACGAGCGCCTCGGTTAACGAGATTTCGGTTAACGATTTACCTTCCATAAGATTCTTAACTTCGGCTAAGGAGCAATCCCTCGATTAACGAGTTTTTTACGAGCCGACTTCAGAATGTTTTCGCTTGCATTTGGCGGTCCACCAGCTGTAGTATTAGTCCGTTAATACAGTAATCGGTTTTAGGGCTTAAATTCCTTACTATTTTAGTAAATATCAAGAAGTTTATACTATTCAATAATTTTAAAAGTTTAATATTAACTTTCTTAGTCATTTTAACAATTATTGAACATAATTGAAGGTAAAGAAACTAGTTTCTGGCATGCTATCCAGCCTGTTAACACACCAGACAGGCATTAGTCTCTCTCTGTTTTCAGTGGAGGTAACATCTTGCTTGAGACTCTCTTCAACTAAACGCTTTTTTTCTGTGTTTCCAAGCAAATTATTGGTCATTTTGAAATATATTTTACATATTGACAATATATAATGCAGTGCAGTGTTGATTTAAAGAAAATAATCTTGAAATACACCAAGAGAACTAAAATTTTATGGGTGAAATGGTGCCAAGGGGTGACTTCTCTTCCACCCCAATGCCTTCTCTTCTTCCTTCTCCTCCACCCCAATTCCAATTCTCATCATCATCATCCAGGAGCCTTCTACATACACACCTCAAAGTAAGTGTACTTTTCTACCTTTTTTGTTGAATTTAGGCAATTTTCAGTGAGCTGGAACCAATTACCCAAAAACCCATTGAAACAATGGTTTCGGTTAACGAGCAACCTGCTGGAACGGATTGTGCTCGTTAACCAAGGGACCACTGTATTACAATTTTGCCCCCCAGGCCCCGATGTGGGTCAGTGATCTATGCCTCAATATTTTTTTCGGTTTTCAGAGCTTTTCAGTTTTCAGAATTTCAGATAAAGGGTTGTCAACCTGTACTTCTCTCATACACACACCCATGCTCTTTAAATTTTCTTTTTTTATAATTTCATATTTTCTTTTCTTTATTTCTAAACCATATCGTTTATATAGTGGGATAATTGTTAAAGTCCACTTTTTTCTCAGACGCGAGCCGGAAGTCAGCTGGCGCGGCCATCTTAGGGAGAGAGCACAGACTGCCCTCCCATAAGGTAATGCACCAAAGTTAAACAGTATTTTATCGGTCATAGTAAATTAAAGTAATTGTGTACTACCCCTTTTTGCACTTTACTTCCACGGAAATTCATAATACTGTACACAGTATGTATAGACAATATTTTCCATTACAGTATATCACTGTGTCATAACCTTTAACACCATCTCATTATAAATCGACAATCCATCAGATTACTTCCACAGATTTGTAAATATTACACGGACAGATCACCAAAATATGTATGTAGTCACAGAACTATGAATATGGGTGTCTTACGGTAATCGAACCCATAAAGCTCTCTAACAGTCTTCTAGCAGTACGGCATTCTGTTTTCGATAATGCTACCGTGTACAGGTATTCCTCGAGATATGAATGGGTTAGGTTCCCCAAAACTTATGGGAAAAATAAGGTTCGGTTCCCCAATGACAAAAATACTGTACTTCAATAGCATACCCCAAAACATGAAATCGGTTCACAAACAAGAACAAAACCTACCTACCTGATGATACATACCCCTTTTTGCACTTTAGTCCCACTATTTTTCATTTCATTTAGAACAGTTCAAATTTCGAAACAATTAAGTATCATTTGAATCAATTTCTGTACAGACATTTTATAAAAATATGCGAGTCAATAGGGGAAATATTGATAACACATAATATTACAATATATACTGTACTGTAGATACATACAGGTAGTACCCACTTAACAAGAGCTCACGCAACACGTGTTACATAATGTATCCTCGATAATCGCTGATCTGGCTTTTCACAGTATCATCAATTGCAACCAATTGTACGCTTATCACCGATTGATCTGGGTTATCGCGGAATTATGGGACAGCGGTGGGTCTGCGAGAGTAACAGTGGTACAGTAGCAGCGACTGCCAATAGATGGCAGCACGACTCGTGGCGCCAACTTCTAGCGACAGCATTTGTTTCCCCGCTCTGTTTTGGTTGGTGTTTGAAGACAGTTTCCTGCTCTGTGCTTGTTTTTGGGGCAATTTCTGTAACTTTTACCTACCATCCACCAAGGCACCAGTGAACAAGAAAAGTGCTAAGGTTCCTGATCCAGCCAAGCGATGAAGACGTTTGTATTCTCTGGTTGAATGTTCCGATGTTCCCAACAATGATAAGCATGCACCTGGCAGCACACCCATTGTGTGTTACCACCTCCTTCCACTCCATCTCTCTAATCACCCCCATCTTTCTACTTTTTCACTCCATAATTTAAAATTTATGTAACGTAATGCGGAAAGAATATGATGATGTTCATTTATACTTACACTCAATTTTGTGGGTAGACATCAGCTGTTCAACTGTGTCTGGCAGTGTTACCAAACAAACCGATAGATGCAGCATCTCAACACTTGCCACAATCTCCCCCTCAACCACCAGCTCCATGATCGCCACAACTACCTCTTTTATCACCACCTAAACCATAATTTCAGTGGTGCAGATGAATTTGTTTTAGCTTGAGCAGATTAGGACAATATAAACTGCCTCCCACCCACTTCACACCTCCCTCTCTCACAACCACTGCATCTCACCAACACTCTGCCTCTCTCACTCATTCTACTGTGACTCATTCATGATACAATATTGTACAGAACTGTACATCGTTTATTTGTTATTTTTTAATTCGTAAAGATATGTTACTAGTACAGTATTATATCTTTTGGTGTACCTACACATTTTTCGGGGTATATTTTGGTCAGTTAGTTGATGCATCCTTGGGGTCATAGGACGAAACAAATTTTTCCCATATGTTATGTTTCAATATGTACGGGTTTGATTTATCATGGTAGTTTTCTGGAACCTAACCCCCATGATTATTGAGGATACATGTATTAAGATAGCCTCATTCATATCGTTGGCAAAAATTCTAATAGCAGATGAAACCAGCATGGGATGTCACCACTGGGCTGTCTGCACATCACTTGATCGTCGTGATGGGAAAATACAATCAATCATTTGTGAGGACTGAAGTGATGTCATCCCCAAGCCACACCTATATGAGGTGATAAAAAACCCACAGACCCAGGAGCTGCATTCACCCCCTCACCTCCCTAGCTTACTATAAAAACCCATACAGTATTCGGCTAACTGGACATCTTTCCAGTGCTATTATACCTCTGCTGGGTCTACCTACAGGTCCTCCGTGTGCCCAACCTACATATTGGCTCATCGTACACGCCAAGTCCTCACTTTTTCTTTCGTCTTTGGGATCTTGTACAAGCCTTGGTTATGCCATGTGTATTAAGTGATTTCTATGAACTCCTACTTTACTGTGAAATGCTGATTAACCAGTGATGAGAAAACATTACCTTATATACTGTCATTTAATTGTATATTTCTATGACTGTCACCAAAACAAGTGAATCTTACTATAACTGAAGTAAATCAGAGCCCCATATATGCAGAGAACCACCTTCTATCATTCTTATAAG